AAAAAAATCCAAGTGAACATCAATCAGTACTCAATATTAATTTAAACTGCTTTAAATATGACTGCTGCTTATTTCCTTTGCACTTCAATACTGGTCTGCGCTTGACTGTAGTCACGTCTGTCTGCTTATTGAGTTTATTTAACCCATCGCAATTTATTGGAACTGTGTGAACTATAGTGACTACTCACCTTAGTGTTGTTCTAAAGGCTTATTACTTAATAACACAAAAATTTAAGCTGGATTCTCGTTTTTCGTTTTTTGGGGGAAAAAAACAAAAAAGGAGCCATTTTCTAATTTTTCCACTTTCAATATTAAATCAAAAAACAAATGATCGAATGATACACGGATTTAATTTGACTACTAGTAGTATCCAACAGTAGACATACACAGGAGATATTTGTGTTTTGTTTTGTTTTGTTTTGTTTTGTTTTGTTTTGTTTTGTTTTGTTTTGTTTTGTTTTGTTTTTTGTTTTTGTTTTTGTTTTTGTTTTGTTTTGTTTTGATTTTGAACATTCATCTGAACACGTCATTTCAAAAACATTCTGTGATGAAAAATGTAATTTTAAACATTTCTGGAATAAAACTGATGGCTCCTAAAGCCAATTTAATAACACTGGGGGGGGGGGGGGGGGGGGTTCATATAGAAGTAATATGAAAACATAAGTTGCCATGACTTACTGATATGATCTGATATGATTTTACAGTGTAGCATTTTATGCATCCTAACTGTGCACAATTAAATAATATTTTAACAAATCTTGTACAAATTTGGTTAAAAATGATTTAGGCTTTATTTTGATATTATCTATTTATTTTCTTCCCATTTCTTCCCATTCTTCAAGTTCTTCATTAACACTTTACATTCCAAGTACACTAAATTACACTAAGCGCCAAGTACACACAAAAAAAACTTGATTGTACGCAAAATTAGCGGTCATAATGGAAATTATGCCACAATAGTGGGACAGTCATAATTTGTGTATAGATGAATATAAATCATTTTAACTGAGTAAATACTGAAATTGTTTATGTCATTGTTTTGATTATAATGGATTTGAAAATGCAATGAAATTTATTATGAATTTTCATATCTTAAGATAGATTAGATAGCTGGCTCTGGGACAAGAATAAAACAATAAAGTCCACACATAAAGGCATTCGAAAACAAAAAATAAACATAATAATAATAATAATAATGGCATGATAAATAGGTTTAGTTTTATTAAAATCCAGTTTTAATGTAACTTTCAGATAACCAAAAGTTAGTGTCAATAAAAATCAATCCCTTGGGCATAAAAAAGCAAAAACATCCAAACATTGCCTTGCTTATGCTACACTAATAGTCCTAACAGCATCTTTCAATACTCCTTGAATACGTTTTGAAGGATTTTAATAGAACTTTAATGAATATTTTCTCTTTTCTAGCAATCGTTGTTTGTCACTTCTGTACTTGCGAATGTTCAAGCTGAAGAAAGATCATGCGATGAAGTATTCCCGCTCACTAATGGAGTATTTTAAGGTACGACCTTGCCTCTGTTTCTTTGTTTATTGTAATTAAGAAACAGCACTAGAAATCTTCATATTGGTTTGAATAGCTTGTTCTCATAAATTCTGCATGCCATTATTAAATCAATTTATTCATCAATTCCAAGCATGCATTGTCAAACTGTAAGCTAATTATGATTAATAATGTTTGCATGAGACCTAGCATGTTTGCATCTGGCGATTATGTGCTGTGTTTATAACGTACGTTTTCTTGCTCCCTCAGAATTCTGCAAAAAGTTCCCAAGCACCTTCGCCGTGGGGAGCCAATGGAAAGTACGTGCATTTTGCTCTCTTTGTCCTTTTGTATTTCTGCCAGCTTGTGAAAAGATTCCATCTTGCTTGAGAACAGCTCTCCTGAATCTTCTTCCCGCTGCCAAGTGGGGAAACATATAGTGTGAGATATGAAACCTCAGTCATGGTTACTTGACATCAGTGAAAGGACATGAAGAGATGAACTCTGGGAAAGCAGCATCACTTCTATGTCAGCACCATGGCAACTGAGTACCAATGTGGTGAGGCAGTGCGAGAGGCGCTGTGTTTGACTTTGTGTGTGTGTCTGATCCAGCCTCTAGCTGGACACTACCCAGGCCCGCTGTTCGGCTGCCAACCTGGCTGTCAAAAGCAATTTGCTTCACTGGCTCGGCCCCTGCAGCCACTACGTTAGCAATAAAGAACCAGCCGTACCTGCTGTAGCTTTGATCAACACATCCATCCTCAACCTCCTCCTCATCCTTTACCATCAGGAATCTTTATCAGCTTTCTTTTCACCTTGGAGGGAGTTTATTTATTTTAGCAGAGCCCTGAAACCCACTATGAATGGGCCCGGCTGTTGACAGGGTGCATAATTTAGCCGGCCGAGGCTTGAGTGTGTTTCAATTTATCAGTGGATTACAGGCCACTGATCCAGACTGTTTGGGGTGCAGCACTAAAGAGACTAATGAATATGTGTGCCGATAGTTGTCTGGAGGGACGACAGTGTCTGCAGGTTACTGTTGATAATGTACTGAGATACTGATTAAAGGGTTGTTGGGTGAAGATAAAGAATCTCATGGCTGGTGGTAGCTTGTGGAAAAGAAATGCACTTAATTGGACTGAATAGGCACTTATAGCGTACTTCAAATCTTAAATGTATTTTTTTTTTTAACTGGCCTTGCAGATAAAATAATATTAATGAAATAAAAGGCCTCTTAGGAGAATACACTTTCTTGACTATGTTTCTTAACACACAGTGCACTTTGAAAAACTTTTTTGAAAGGTGTAATAATGTCAAATTAGAAGTTTTACTTTAACCCTTTCTCTGTCAGTGTCCCGCTGGTGCTCTTTTTCTTTTTCTGGTCTTCACAAAACACATATCGTTGGAAAGGTTTGAGTGTCAAGGTTCCATATTTTGGTGGTTATTTCATGATATAAGTAATTTTGTGGCAGAAATGTATACGTTTGTGACAGGAAAATGCATTAAAAAAATTCATTGGAGTTTGGGGGTCAACTGGTTGCTATTTTTGATATAGCATCTAAAATAAATCTCACAGGAACCTACATTTTTGTAATATCAACTTCAAATTTGGAACATAACTTATTTAGACATATGGCTTTGATTTTATATCAATTTTATATTGCTAACTATTTTGTAATATATATATATATATATATATATATATATACACAGTACGTTTTACAGTAAACTTAAAGTACATTATAAATAATTAGATAAAATATTTTTTTGTGCTTTAAAGAAGTACGCTTATTTTGATGTGCTGACCAACATACTAAAGCACATGTAAAGTACTTGATTATAATGTTATCTGATATTATATTGAAAGTTTTCGACAGTTTTTAATTGAAATGTACTAAACCGCAGATGCATCATTATGAATGTGCCATTTCAAATAAATGACATGCACGTTTTAATAGAAATGACATTTATTTGACCATAAATGCTTAACAGTATATTCGGCAGTACAACTATATTAAAAGACAATAGAATTATGAAAATGATGCTAAACTAAACCCTAATCCTTACTCTAACCCTGTATTAAGTACATGTCGTTAATTAATATTACTCAGTATTTAAATATATAATTACACTGTAACACGAACACCTTAAAATAAAGTGTAACTGCATTTTCATTTCATTGTAAATAACATGTAATTAAATGTATGGTAACATTCAGTTTGCACTTACTGTAAGTATATTCTTTTTCAAGTTTATTATTTCCGTAATAAGTACCCGTTTTTCAAGTATGCTAAAGAGTACTTCTTTTACACAAGGGTAGTCATTGCAGCCAGTTAACATATGATTTAAGTAAAGCTGTGTTGCACAGGATATTGAGCCAATGAGATTTCGCTGTGGGTGGGGTTACTGAGCATAACATAAAATAAACAGAAACCAAGCAACAACAAAATGTCTTTACATGTCCCGCTTGCCACTTACATTTGATAGACAGGAATGCGCAAGATCCATTTTAAGCGTATGGAAAATGCTATGTTAGTTTGAAATGATGCGGAAATACAGCGGATCGGATTTCGGGGCAAAAACAAAAGTGTTGCGCTTATAATTTTGTTCAGTGTATAATATATATATATATACAGTATATATATATATATATTTACAGTGACTTTGTTGGTGATATTAAGCAACACTTTTATTTAAAATTTTATTTGGCCATGAAGTTTCCTAAAGACTGTCCATTTCAATGAATTGGTTCAAAGCTCTGTTTCAAGGATTGCAATATTTTTTAATCAAAACTTTTTCTAATCTTGACAAAACATATTGTTGGAAAGGTCTCAAGGTTCCATATTTGGTGGTTATTTTGTGATAGAAGAAAATTGTGATAGAAAATTTAAACATTTGTGACAGGAAACAGCATTAAAAAAATTCAGTGGAGTTTGAGTCTTACCCTATTAAAAAAACAATTTTGTAAAATCAACTTCAAATGTGGAACAGAAACGTATTTATGTCTTTATATATGGCTTTGACTTTATAGCAATTAAAGATCCTGAAATATTTAGTAAAATATGTATTTTTTATAGAATAAAAAATGTTCAGTACAGTACATTTTCTTTACAGTAAACTTAAAGTACATTTTACATAATTAGGTTTTAATCTTTTTTTATATTTTGTTGTGAAGAAGTAAACAAAATTTCATTTTCATACTGTGAATTGTTGGTGTTTATAACTGAAAATGATTCATTTTCATTATGTATTTTCATTAAGTGACATACAATTTGGAAGACGTGCAAGATTATTGGATCAAATTTGACAAGATATGTCAAATTTCTGTGTTTCTACTTCCAAAATATTATGTTTTTTTTCCCTCTAGCAAATTTGGAGTGAAAGTTGTTTCTACAACAAATGTTTCAGTCTATGCACGTTTTCTAGTGAGAAGTTCTTTTTAAGCTATTCCAGAGAATACTGAGAGCAATCTGTACAATATTGTCAAAGGTTTGTATCATTTTTAGCGCACATCTGTCTTAGAGAGGCAAAATTAGTTCTTCGCCTACCATTTTTGGGGCTTTTATGTCTTGCATCATGAAACAATCATTGAAGTAAATTCCCAAATTCTCCCAAAATCTCTCTCTTGTGGATAAATCTCATTTATCTTCGCTGTCATACTGTATATCTCAGCGTTATATAAGAAATTCACCTCTCGCACTTGCAGCATTATCAGTGATTCAATGTTTGATACGGCCCACCAGAGAAATGAAAAAGCCACTATGTTAATTGCATTTGAGATCTGATGTGGCTTGTCATTTCCTCTCTTTCTCTCTCTGTGTCCTCTAGAGGAGACTAATTAAAACACTCTGAGACCCTGCGTGTTGTGCGAGGTCTCCCCCGCCTCAGAAATCAGCCGTAATAAACTCTCTCAGCTTCCCCTCCTCAGTGTCTTTCCTAGAACTGAATACTTTGGTCAGAATGATAGCGGGATTGGCTAATTATGACAGTATCAGCTCTGATGCAGGTCCTCAGGCGCGTACATGACTCTGTCATCAGATACCTCTGCTATCTTCCTGCTAAACTTAAGAAGATTGACATTGATGTCTTTCTTTGATTTTCAGTGCCCCAATTTTTTTTTTCTTAAGATGAATTGCTATTTTGATTTATTTTGTCTTTGAATTATTATAAGAATATTGTTATTTACATCTTTATTTTAGAATTATCAATCATACCCTCACAAGAAATGTCATAAGATTAATTCTTAGAATCTTAATTCTTTGTAAGAATGTTCCTAAGTGCAATTCTGAAAAAAAAGACCATTTTAAATATTTTCTTAAGAACTTCTTGCTGCAGACTCACTGATCAACTCAATGAAAAACACCTTGAAAACATTCTTTCTGCGCTACAGTACCTGCAAATGACCTTAATAATCATAGCAATAATCATAATAATAATCATAGAGCCTCTCTCAAGCAGTGTTGATTCAGTTGCATCTTTCTTGTGCTCTGTCTAGAGAGAATGCATAGTTTTTAGTAAGAGAACAGAATTTTGCAAGTGCTTTAAGACCTTCAAAATACAGCAATATAGTTATTTTATTTTATTTATTCAGATATAACTTTCAATTTTGAAAAAGTTACACTGTTCATGTTCAGCAAGTAACATTTTCAGAGTAATATTTGTGTTGTTTTGTTAGAAATAAATATGTAGGTTTCATTAATTCGGGCAATTATAAGTCAAATGAATTTAATTAAATACTATTCATTCCAATGGGGTCAATTCTACTTGAGGGTAATTCTCAGATTATACTGTGTGTTCTTATTTTACCAATGATATATTCAAATAGGATTTCTCATCAGCACTGAACATACATTTCAAATAATTTCTCAATTTTGAAATAAACAAAAAGGGAAATGCAGTAAGAACATGGTAATAACATGGTAACATTCAAAACTTCACTAATTAATGACAAGGTGCTGATAAGATACAATACGGTTTTAGTTAAAAAATGTTGAGTTTTTTTTTTTAAAAACAATGATTCAAACAGACCCAGAATTTGAAAATCATATAAAGAATGCATTGCAGGGTTTATTTACAATGATTTTTAAGAACATCCTTTTTAGGAATTCGAATTCTTCCTAAATTTTGTCTTCAGAACAATCTTAAAAAGATAAGAAAATTTTTAAGAAATGTGTTTAGGAATACAAAATATTCTTAACTTTATTCTTAATTTTGAAAATAAAAAGAAAATAGCAGTTTTATATATATATATATATATATATATATATATAGGGACAGAATTAATTAAGTCCATCTTCCACTTTTTAGAGCTCTCTAAAAAAAAACAATCACTGGCAAAACATGTTTTTTAATAAAATTCATGATTTACAATTTATCGACAATTTATGAAG